AACTTGTACTGGTTGTGGTCAATGTCCAGGGAGCCCAGCAGCTTCTCTGACCCTTTCCTGCTGTCAATGAACTGGCCCTCGGGGATGGCTGCCGGGTTCAGGATGCGGTACCTGGGAGGGAGGTGCCCGTAGTTACCCACGTTCTGCACTGCTCTGCTCTGCCCAGAGAATCTGAGGCCACCTGAAGACTCCCCTCCCACCCGAGGCTGCCCACGCTCCCCCTGTTCCCTGAGCCCTGGGGGGCCGTGGTGCCCACCTCTGCCGGAAGTCCCCGTAGAGGATGCGGTTGGGGAAGCCCTTCCTGCAGATGCGGATGCCCTCCAGCACGCCATTGCAGCGCAGCTGGTGCATGACCAGGGGGTTGTCCATCACCCCTGTGGCAGGAGGGAGAGGGAGGAGTGTGTTGAGAGAGCACGGGACTAACAGCCAAGGGTTCTGGGTTCTGATCCTGGCTCTGCCACGTACTGGCCTATGACCTTAGCAAGTCAGTATTTTTTCCTAGCCATGTTTTGAGAGTAACCAAAAGGCTTTCACAGTCCTTATTTTATATGGTTTATGCCTATTATCATAGGTGATAGCCAGGGCAAATATAGCCCATTTTTTAGAGAATAAAATAAGCCCGGACAGGTTAAGGGACTTGACCGAGGTCACTGAACTGATCAGAAGAGAGCCAGGCCTTGAACCCAGGCACCTGAGCTCCTCCATCTCCTTATGATTCATTCAGAAAGGGATAAACAATCCTTACACGTGTCACCAGCGGTTGTAAGGCACTAATGAGGTAATGTCCATCAGAGTGCCTTGCACATTACTCTGAGCTACACATTCCAAATGTAAGGCAGCACTGTGGCCGAGGTGGGAGGTAGTGTGTGAGACTCCATGGGCAATGGGATGAGAAGGCCGTGATTTGGAAAGCTCCATGGTGGGAGCTCAGGAGGTGACCTAGAAGGCCCTGACCCCGGGGCAACGCGTCTCAGCCTTGGGCTGGGCCCGACTTCTTGGGCTTTACCTGGAGACTTTGTCTCATTGGGGATGATGCAACGCACGAAGTGGGGGTGTGTGGAGCGCAAGTTGGTCATCAGCTTGTTCAGATTCTCCTGTGGCCCAAAACCCAAGAGGGAAAAGTAAAGACAGGGAAAGAAAGAGAAGTGAGCGGAGAGGAAGGAAGGGAAAGACAGACAGAGAGAACTCGAGGAGCTAGAGGATAAAGGAGGGCTAGGGGAGACGTGGAGAGGGAGAGGATGCGAGGCAGGAGTGACAGTGAAGCGAGGTGAGATGAGAAAGGAGTGGGAGACGAGGCCAGCAGATGAAGGGGAGAGAAGACAGGGTGGACAGGATCAGGAAGGGCCTGAAGAGACTGAGGGGCAGGAGCTGGGGATGAGCCAGGCAGGGGGCAAGCGGGGCTGGGGTGGCGCTGGGCCACACGCTCACCCTGTGCAGAGCTGACACGGTCTGAAAAGATGAGCCTTTCTTGGCCTTGCCTTTGCCCTTTTCGATAGCTGTGGGAAGGAGAGTCGAGAAAACGGGATGAGTGTGCACGTGGGGAGTCTGGACAGGGGGTGAGGAATCACAACCTCTCTTCACATTTAGCCTGCAGGCCAGGGTCTTCATTGTGGGTGCCTCAGCTTCTCCACCCAATTCTATCTCACTGAACCTGTAAAGCTTGGGGCCCAGCCTGACATGGAAGTGGTGGGGTGTAGCACGTGACCTGCCTCAGAGCCACGGCAGAAGTCCTTCTCCCAGTCCCCTGGGTCCCAGTCTCCACTCACGTGTGTCAAACCCAGCATAGTTGGCAAACAGGGTGCTGAGCATCTTGAGCGAGGATTTCTTGTACAACTCCACCACCGTCTCGTTGAGGGGGTCTTTGTTTTTCTGTAGCCAGCCTATGATGTTGTAGTCCACCGTGCCGGCGTAGTGGATCAGGGAGAAGTGGGCTTCCGGCTTCCCCTTGATGTTGCGTGGCTTCTGGAAGTTGCTGGACTTGCCCAGGTGGTTGTCAAACAGCTTAGCCTTGAAGGTCATGTCAGTGGCCTTGGGGAACATGCACTCCTCCTCCAGGATGGACATGATGCCCATGGGCTGAGGGTGGAGGGGAGAGTATCACTGAGCCTGCTTTAAGCAGATGGAGGTGGACCCTGCTCTAGGGTCAGTATTTGCAAATGGAGATGTTCCTTTGGGTATTAGGTATCAGTGTCAGCTCTGAGTACAGTTATCTATTGACTGACACCTGTTCAAGCCTTCCCAAGGTGGGACTTTGTTTGATTTCGGAGGGACCTTTGTGAAAGTCTGGGAATGTGGATGCTACAGGTGCTTTACACACCATTCCATCGCCCAGATCCCTGAGATGATGGGGTTGAAAATAGGTGTTCTCTTATGGTCCCCTGTGCCACCCTCAAACTTCCTGCTCCTTGATGGGTAAACCAGGGCCGCAAGCACACTGGTGTGGGAGGCCATCCTTGAGGTGCCCGTCCTCCGTGCGTCCACTCTCAAGCCTCTGGAAACTCAGCTCTCCCAGGCACCACCCTCTCCTGCAAGGTTCTGGGAACTAGGGCTCGGGCTTCTTCTGCTGTCTGGATCTCCCTGAAGGGAGAGGGGTCTGCCACTTTTCTGGGCCGTTCATGCATGTGGGGTGTGAGTGGAGAGTTCAGGCGGAGGGGCCGAAGCGGCACCTTCTCGATGAGGTCGATGCAGGCCTGCAGGTCCATGCCGAAGTCGATGAACTCCCACTCGATGCCCTCCTTCTTGTATTCCTCCTGCTCCAGCACGAACATGTGGTGGTTGAAGAACTGCTGCAGCTTCTCGTTGGTGAAGTTGATGCAGAGCTGCTCAAAGCTGTTGAACTACAGAGCGGGGGGTGGGGGAGGGGAGCGGGTCAGGCGGGCAGCTGTCCGTGGCCCATGCGGTGCGCCCAGGGCCGCGTCCAGCCCGGCAAGGGGTGCAGCTGGCCCCTCCCCCCCCCGTCAGGGAGGGTGCCCTGAAGACACATGACCGTCTCTACCAGAGCACACCGCCGTCCCCGCGACTGGCCTGCAGCCGGCTCGGCCAGCGGTGGCTGCCTGTGCAAACCAGTGAGTTACTGTTCTCCCGGCCCCGGGGCTCCCCACTCACGTCGAAGATCTCGAAGCCGGCAATGTCCAGGACGCCTATGAAGTACTGGCGCGGCTGCCTGGTCTCCAGGGTGGCGTTGATCCGCGTCACCATCCAGTTGAACATCTTCTCGTACACGGCCTTGGCCAGCGCCCCAATGGAGTAGTACACCTGCTGGACATTCTGCCCCTTGGTGACGTACTCATTGCCCACCTTCACTCGAGGGTGGCACAGCCCCTTGAGCAGGTCGGCTGAGTTCAGCCCCATGAGGTAGGCGGACTTGTCAGCATCTGGTGGAGAAGGAAAGGGATAAGCAAGCACTTTCAGCAGACCCTCTTTCCCAGGACCATCAGGTCCTGCCTCTCTCGTTAAAGAGTTGCAAATAGGGACTTCCCTGGTGGTGCAGGGGTTAAGAATCCGCCTGCCAATGCAGGGGACACGGGTTCGAGCCCTGGTCCGGAAAGATCCCACATGCCGCGGAGCGACTAAGCCTGTGCGCCACAACGACTGAGCCTGCGCCCTAGAGCCCGCGAGCCACAACTACTGAGCCCGTGTGCCACAACTACTGAAGCCTGCACGCCTAGAGCCCGTTCTTCGCAACAAGAGAAGCCACCGCAATGAGAAGCTTGCGCACCACAACGAAGGGTAGCCCCCGCTCGCCCCAACTAGAGAAAGCCCACGCACAGCAACGAAGACCCAACGCAGCCAAAAGTAAATAATAAATCAAAAAAAAAAAAAAGAGTTGCAAATAGAGGCCTGAAGGGCACAAGGCTTGCAATGGTGACACAGCCAGTGTGTGCCTGAGTCAGGCTGGAGCCCAGGCCCTTCCCTCACCCCAGGACCTCCTACCACACTGCATCCCTTCATCTCTCCAGGGCAGGGACTGTGGCTGATGCTGTCCTCTGCTTCTTTCCTCCTTTGTCCCCAATCCCAGGATCTAGCCCAGGACTGGGCCTGCTCTACCCTGAATCTATGTGTTGGCCAACATGGCTGGCTGGGAAATCAAGGTTCCTAACAGCATGTTGGTCACCCTCCCCCAATCCCCAGCTCTCCAAATGTGCCATCCAACATATGATATCTAGTTAGAAGGAATTTATTTGGTTTAATTTCAAGAGTTTTGTGATAACTGGCAACACGCTATTGTGAAACTGAGGCTTGGCATTTGATCTGGACAGACATAGAGAAGGGGTCCTTGAAGGTGGGCCAAGAGGAACGTTCTTGGGCGTTTGTCCAGCCCTGTTCACACCCCTTCACATCTCCTTCTCAAAGGATTCTCGAGATAGCCTTAGAGGGAGCTGGGAAGGGCTTTTGCTCCATTCCACTGAGGGGGAAACTGAGGCCCAGCGATGTGGGTGATGCGCCAATGCCCTGAGCTGTGTCCTGACCCTTGGCTTCCTGCCTCCCAAACAGAACATGGCACGGAGGCTGCGAGGGGCTCACCCAAGGCCTGGGCATCCCTCACATACACACTGCATTAGTGATGGGGATGTGCAGAGATCAGTTCTCTGCTTTCCTGGGCTTGGGGGTGTCTTGGGTGCAGAAGGAAGTCTCCCCAATTCACTTCTGCTCTGTGCAGCTGGGTTGAGAAGCTAGCGGGATTGAGAGGTGCCTCCCTGTCTGCCCACTTCTCCCATGTCCTGGCCTTCACCCACCCACAAGCCTCAGGTCCTCTGGGAGCCAGCCTGTCTGGGATGCAGGGTGGCATCTGGCTAGGTTCTAATGGAGAAGAAAGCCTGGAGCCTGGGCCAGGTGGACTTGGGGTGGGGCTGAGCCCGCCCTGGGAGAAAGCACAGCCTTTCAACCATCTGCTTCTCCTATTCCTGGTTTCTTTCCACTTTCTCTATCGAGGTCCTAACATCGCTACTGTGAACGTAACTCCTTAAAAATCATTGAAAGGGGCACATCCCTGGTGGCACAGTGGTTAAGAATCCGCCTGTCAATGCAGAGGACACGGGTTCAATTCCTGGTCTGCGAAGATCCCACATGTCGCGGAGCAACTAAGCCTGCGAGCCACAACTACCGAGCCAACGTGCCGCAACTACTGAGGCCCGTGCTCTTAGAGCCCGTGCTCCGCAACAAGAGAAGCCGCCCCAATGAGAAGCCCGCGCACTGCAACGAAGAGTAGCCCCCGCTCGCCCCAACTAGAGAAAGCTCACGCACAGCAACGAAGACCTAACGCAGCCAAAAATAAAATCGTTGAAAGGCACCCCTTTTGGACACAGAATGGGAGACCGTGCTCCCAGAGGACTGTCTCTGCATGACGGGCAGATGCCCATCCCCTCAGGCCTTCTCAGCGCCTGCTCTCCTGTCCTCGAACCTTCAGTGCCGTCGGGCTCGGCCTGCTCCTCCCGCTGCTTCTGCTTGAACTTCATGTTTCCGTAGTGCATGATGGCGCCCGTCAGCTTGTAGACGCCGGCCTTCTCCTCAGGAGTGAAGCCCAGCACGTCGAAGGCACTCTGGGGCAGGGCAAGAGAGGCAGAGTGGGTGGCGGGGCAGGCGGCCCAGGAGCCCCGGGACCCGCCCACTGCCTCCTAGCTCACATCCGTGGCCTCCAGCTCCTCGGAGTCGTCGATGGAGGCCACGGACACCTCCCCCTGAGACACGAAGGCGTAGTCGTAGGGGTTGTTGGTGACCAGCAGCATGTCTGTCCAGGCGGGGGACAGGGCAGGGGGCAAGGGGGTGGGAGGGGGCACGGTGGGGGGCAGGGGTGGGATGAAGGGAAGAGCGGGAGCAGGTAGAGAGGAGGACCGTCAGCAATGACCAAGGGGAGGACCCAGAAGGAAAGGAAAAGTGGGCTGCAAGGACCCAGGATGGGAGGATGGTGGGCGAATGACAGGTGGGAGAAGGGGAGGCAAATGCAGAGGAGAAGGAGCAAAGCAGCAAGGAAGGGTGGAAAGGGAGGCAAGAATTGACACAGGGGAGTCCAAGGTGAGGGAGGAAGAGAAAGGCAAGGGGCAGATGGAAGGAGTGGGGGTGAGCAGGCTGGCGGGACGGGTGAGGAGGAGGGATCTGCCCTGCACAGGCGGGCTTGCGGAGGGCGCTGGGGGCAGCAGGGCCATCGGGCTGGGCTCACCCAGCAGCTCTGGCTTCTTGTTGGACAGGATCTGGTAGAAGATGTGGTAGTTCCTCTCAGCCTTCAGCTGGAAGATCACCCGGGACTTCTCCAGGAGATCTGAAGTGAGGAGAGGCGGGGAGGCAGGTAAGGAGGGAAAAAGCCAAGCCAGCAACAGGGTGGAGGTCAGGGGAGAAGGGCTCTCACGGCAAGTGGAGAGAGCCCGGGGAAAGATACGGTTTAAAGGAAGAAGAATTCTAAAGCCAAGAGGCAAATGTAGACAGAGACAGAAGATGGAGGGGAAATGTTGAGGTGGGGCATCCGGCGGGAATGAAGGCAGAGGTGGAGGACCCAGAGGTGTGGGCAGGGCTCCCCACGTACTCACAAGTTTCTATGTCTGCAGAAGCCAGCTTTCCAGTGGCTCCAAAGTGGATCCTGATGAATTTCCCCTGGGGGCAGATGGGACAAAGAGTGAGAGAACTGGCCAGAAGAGACGCATGGAGATCCTGGACCTCATCGCAACCCAGAATGCCCTGGACGGTTCTGGAAATGTAAATGACTTCTTTGGAATCCCAGTTTAGTATCAGTAAAACAGGGAAGAGGATGCCCATCCCCACATGCCACCCAGGGATCTCTGAGCAGAAACGACACAGGAGGGGACCTCCCTGGTGGTCCAGCTGTTAAGACTCTGCTCTCCCAATGCAGGGAGCCCACGTTCAATCCCTGGTCAGGGAACTATTAATAGATCCTGCACACCACAACTAGAGATCCCGCATGCCACAATGAAGATCCCGCATGCACAATGAAGATCCCACATGCCACAACTAAAGACCCAGCTCAGCCAAATAAATAAATAAATATTTTTTTAAAAAAGAAAGAAATGACACAGGAATGAGCACTGATAGAATGTGTCCTGTTTGTACCTCTGATATGATCTCTTGTAATCCTCCCAATAACCAGCAAGGTAGATACTACTACCTCTGTCTCACTGATGAAGGAACTGGGGCTCAGAGAGGTGTGGGGACTTGCTGGACAGATGGAATGCTGGGGAATTGGCTCCAACGCCCATGCTCTCTTCCCACTTCCAGTGTGGAAGAGCTTTGCAAACAGTCATAAGGAAAATCTAGAATGTGACCCAAATCAGCCCTGTTACTCGGCTCTGGAACAGCTGTGGTAGCTCTGGGTCTCTTTTCTTGAGTTCCCAGCACTCGGGGGCCAGGCTGAGTGGGGAGGGTTTGGAGTGTGTGTGTGTGTGTGTGTGTGTGTGTGTGTGTTATTTGATATCCCAAAACCAAATGCAGGACAATCAACCAGGTGGGGTGACTGTTGGCAAAACTGAACCCCCCTTTTTTTGTTGAGGCCTCATGAGGCCAGTTGGCAGTGGTCAGGTGCACTCACGAAGCGGGAGGAGTTGTCGTTCCGGACTGTCTTGGCGTTGCCGAAGGCCTCCAGGGCGGGGTTGGCCTGGATGATCTGGTCCTCCAAGGTGCCCTGCAGAGGGAGCAGAGCGTGGGGCTGCATCTCCAGTCCATCTCCAGGTGGTGGTGGGGAGGGCAGGGGTGTGGCCGGATGGACTGCTGGGGGTTTGCAGCTCCAACAGGTCACATTCAGACCTCAGAGTGTGTGTCTCCTGCCAGGTAGGTCTTGAGCACCGGGCTCAGGGGTGCAGTCCACACTGTTTCCCAGGGCAGGGCTAGGGGTCACCTGGTCAGCCCACCCCCCAGTCCCCCTCTGCCGAGCCCGTGGCCCACCCGGCACCTTGGTTGCATTGACGTTGTCCTTCTTGCCACGGTCACCTATGGCTGCGATGCTGGCAAAGTACTGGATGACACGTTTCGTGTTCACAGTCTTCCCTGCCCCAGATTCTCCGCTGGGGGCAACAAGGACCCATCAGAGCCCAGATTCCCACCGTCCTCCATTCGAAGTTCAGCACTGCACCCTCCTCTCTCAGAGTCCCAGCCATCTAATCTCCTCCCCCGGGGCCCAGCTCCCTGCAGAGTCTGCCCAGCACTGCAGGTCACTCCGGCACTCCTCGGAGAGCCCAGTTCCTTGCAGTCTCCGCCTTAAACCTTTCCTCCCCACCCCATCACCCCCAGGAATCAGCCTGGATCCCCCAGCCCACGGCCCTCTGTGGGTGGATGGTGTCTGCTCACGTGATGAGGATTGACTGGTTCTCCCGATCTGGAAGGGAAAAGAGCAGAGGCAATGGGGCCAGGGCTGAGGGCCCAGGTCCACGGGTGTGGGGCTGAGGAGCCACAGGTCGGAGCAGCCGGCCCACCTGTCAGCATGTACTGGTAGGCGTTGTCGGAGATGGAGAAGATATGGGGCGGCGCCTCGCTCCTCTTCTTGCCCCGGTAGGCGGCCACCACCTCGGCGTTGTACACCGGCAGCCACTTGTAGGGGTTGACGGTGACGCAGAAGAGGCCCGAGTAGGTCTGAAACGGGAGATAGGGCAGTCATGAGAAGTTGGAAGGGAGAGCCTGGGATGGGCAGTGGTGACAGGCAGAAGAGTCCCTGGTCAGCCCAGCTGGCTTCTCTCTTCCTGCAGCTGACCAGGGATGGGATAGGGGCAGAGAGCCCTTTGGGAGAGTTCCAACCCCCTCCCCGTGAGAGAATCGCCCCGGCCTACTTTGGACTCTGTGCAGGACAGGCTGCCCGCCGTGTGCAGGACACACTCACGTAGATCATCCAGGCTGCGTAGCGCTCCTTGAGGTTGAAAAGCACCGCGGGCTCATGCAGGAAGGTCAGCATCGCCATGTCCTCAATCTTGTCGAACTTGGGCGGGTTCTGCTGCAACACCTGGTCCTCCTTCACGGTCACCGTCTGGGGAGGGGTTGGGGCAGTAAGACAGGGGTGACCACACTCCCACCAGGACCCTTGCCAGCCTCGCCCACTTACCTCCTCCCAGAGCACAGGCTGTGACCTGGCCTCGTTCCCCTAGCTCTTCTCTCACCAGTGCCTGGGCCCTTGCCCATAGCTTCCCATGACACCAGATAATTTACCTGCCCACTGTCTCTCCCTTCCTAGGGACTGTCCTAGATTCCCTGTGTCTTGCCAGTTCCCCAGACCCTGTGCCCATGAGCATCACCTTTCAGTCCCTGCTTAATTGTCTAGGGCTGGCCACTCTCTGACCTGTGCACACACACCTTACCCTGACTCCTGGGGGCAGTACTTCAGGGAATCAATTGTTCAGGGCAAACCTTGCCACTAATGGAAAAACATCTCACCCATCTACCCTACACTCTTCATTGGTCACTGTCAAATGGTTCGATCTCCACTGGTCAGTTTGCCGTGCCCTGAGGTCATGAGATCCTGCAAGTAGGTATTCCAGCATTTTTTACAGTGGAGAAAGCTGTGGATCGAATAACTAAATGATTTGCCAGCATGGTGGCTGCTAGTGGCAGCGCTGGGTTCAGGGTCAAAGTCCCCAGAGGTTCTGAGCCACTGCTGCTGACCAGTGGCAGTTCTCGTGGCCGGCATGAGGGACCAGGACTGTGGATTTCTGAGTGCCAGTCGTCAGCTCTGGACTGAACATTCTGCTCAAGAGTTCCTGCTCTTTGCGTTCATCGGTAAAAGTTTGCTCTTGGTATGGCTGGGGAGGATTGGGGAGACTCGGTTCATGGAGGAAACTGAGGCAGAGTGGAGGGACGCAGGTTTGAGAAGGGAGCTTCATTTGATGCTGTGTCTATGCCCTCTTTATCTACAAGTCCCCTCTGAAGAGGAAACCAGCTGAGGTTTTCGGCCGCCAGCATCCTCTCTGGCAACGGGCTGGCGTGGGGCCTCGTTACACCTGCTCAGACCTAACAAGAAAGGTCAGTTCTTACTCAGATGCTGGGCTTCTCGAGGGGGCTCATCCAGCACCCCCGCTGGCTTTGGCTCTTCTCCAGAGCCCCTCAGCTCCCACTGCATGTGGCTCCACCCCTGCACCCACCACCCCGTGCTGTGCCCCACACACCTTGCCGTTCTCCGTCTCGGCAGTGACCTTGCCTCCCTCCCGGGACAAGATCTTGGCCTTGACAAACTCTTCCTTGTCATCCGGCACGAAGCACTCAGTGCGGATGTCGAAAGGCCGGGTCTGGGCCTCTAGACGCTCCTTCTCTGACTTGCGGAGGTACTGGGCCGCCGCCCCGAAATCGGCCATCTGGGCATCGGTCATCTTGTCCCTCCTCTGCGGCTGAGACAGGAGGGCCCAGGCCTCAGTGGGTGGCATTGCCCTCTGCCCTTGACTCTCTGCCCCACCCCCTCACCACCTGGGTCCTATCAGTCTCACCTCCCTACCTGGCCTGGGTCCAGCCCTCCCCAACTCGGGTTCTGCTTCCCTTGCCCTCTGATGTGAAGCTGAAGGAGAATCTGTGAGGGGTCTGCGTGGGGTGGAATTGGCTAGAGTTTGCTAAGGCGAGGTGCTGAGCTGCTCAGAGGAGAGCAGCAACCTGGCTTCCAGGAGAAAATTGGGGTGGTTCTCACCCGGCGATCTCTTCACAGAGAATCCTGGAGACTCTGGACCATGGGCGGAGCCACAGAGGTACAGCCAGGCAGAGGGAAGAACAGACAAAGAGAATGAGGAACAACGGAGGCAGGCCCGTGGGGAGAAGTAAGCTGGGAAGCTAAACCGAGAGCCAGCCGAGTGGGACAGACCGACATGGGCAGTCGGGCAGATGAGAGGCAGGGAGACAGGAAAGAAAGGATGCAGAGCTAGTAAAAGTGAGAGGAGTGGGATGTGGAATCCGAGTTGGAAACAGAGAGGCAAGGAGATTAGAACACGCAGCTGTGAAGGGCAGGAGGAGAGACAGACAAAGAAGTATGATAGTGACAAGTACTGACAAAGACCAAGAGGCAAAATAAAATTGGACAAAGCGAGGGAAGCCATCCAAGGAGGGACAAACGTGGAGAAAGCACACGCAGGACACAGAAAGCAAGAGAGGACAGATGCAGGGAAAGAAATGCAGACGGGAGAAGAAAAGAGGTTTCTGGTTTTCCCCTTGGAACCTCCCCTCTGTCAGTGGAAACTTCCCAGGGCTGGAGAAAGTCAGTTTTAGCAGAACCCTTGGGCCTCCGACTGACCTGTTGGGGGGCTCTGAGGGCTAGCTACGGAGCTCCCACCCAAACCCCATCTTACCTGGTTCAGAGGAGTGTCAGTCTGTCCCTAGAGCATGATCCTTTATATCCTGCTGCACCCACCCACTGCCTAAATTTGGAGTCCTTCCCTAGGGACCCTCCCTCCCACCTCTCTCCCCTCCTGGCCCCTCCTCCCTTGATCCCTTGGCTCTGGAGGTGACAAGAGGACAAGAGGGCCTCCAGATTTGCCCATGAAAGGTCTGTCGCCCTAGCCCCTCTGGCTCCAGGCCCTTTTTTTAGTCCTTGGGCACATTCCTCCCCTCCAAAGGACTGATGGGCAGAGAGTGGGAAGACAGGACTTCTCACACCGCTGCCCCCACACCACCAGGCCCTTACCTTGGTTATTTTTAACCTGAAGGGTGAGTTGAGCACTCTGGGTGAGGGCCACCTTCTCCTGCAGGCCAGATGCTTGTCCCCTGCCCCCAACCACGGGCTCCCCTCCCTCCTTTCCTCCCCAGCCTGTCCTCACACAGCCCAGGCTGAGAGCGACTCCCCACTCTCTCTGGACCTGGAGTCCCATGGTGCTGGGGACTGGCAGCTGGAGCCAGGATGCCCAGGGAGGGGCTCTACTTCCTCCCTTGACTCAGATCCTTGACTCAGTTTCCTTTTGTCAGGAAAAGAATTGCCATGCTGTCCTCTCTGTGCAGTCCTGGTTTCCTTCTGATCCCCAAGTCTGCAGGCAGGTGTCCTCCTGGGAACGTGAGGCTGCATTACTCTGGGGACACATCTGGAGCCCCCAGCCCCTCCCCTGCTGCTCCTGATACAGTGACCACCGTCTAATCGCTCAAACAGGGGAAGGGATTTCCCCACGCCACCAAAGCAGATTCGCACCCAGACCCACAGTCCAGCACCCTCACACATGGCCTTGGCCACCATGGGTCCGTGCCCATTCTTAAACACGCGCATACAGATATTTCACACTTACACACCTAAGTTTGCAGATTTTCCTTCATGCTTTTATGCACACTGAAACACACATTTGCACACATAAGCTTTTACCCCTCCTCTGCCACCCTCTGCTCCCGGTGAGGGGCGGGGTAGGGTGGGGAGGGGCAAGAGGCGTTAATCCCAGGGCCTGAGGCCGGAGGGGGTGGGGGCTGCTCCCTTCCGCCTCTCTGGGCTGCCAGAGAGTGCAGGTGCTGCTGAGGCTGGCTGGGGTCCTGGCCGCCCCGGGGATTTACAGGAGCTGGGCCCCAAGCTCTGCGTTCCGCAGGGCGGGGGCGGGGCTCTGCCGTCTGCTCCCCCTCCCCAGGTAGAACCCCAGCGCTCCCTCCCGACCGTGGGGCTCATACTCACACGTCCGTCTTCGTGGGTGTCCCCCAGCGCCCCAGGCCCTCAGCGCCCCCCTCCCCAGCCTCCAGTGATGCCGCCTCTCAGAGGAGGTAGGTGTCAGGTCTTCAACAGGCCATGCCTGTTATGACTAAGTGGACATTGTGTGCAGGAAACAAAGCCAGACTCCCCTGCCCTGGCTTGCCTTACACCCTCACACCCAGGAACGCTCTCCCAGCTGCCCCTCCCAAACCATCTCCTGTCACCTCTCAATATAGCTCTAGAGTGGGGTGGTGGGTAGGACGGACAGGGGTCAAATTCTCTGCTTTCCACCAAATATGTGGTCTCTCCCCCAAGGCGCCAACTCCTTAGGACCCTCCACTGCCCCATTAATGGACTCAGGGATACATCTGTCTGCAGGGAACCTGTACTCCATATCCAGTGTCCTTGGGGAGACCTGAATCAACCCCACATTCCCATCTCCGGCAGGTGCATATGCCAAATTGTTCCCCCAGGGGATGCAAGCTACTTGTCCCCAGCTCTAGGTCACTGGAGGACCTAGCGTGCAAGCTGGGGGTCAGCCTGTGGCCCAGTGCGCCACTGCCTGGTTCCCATTGCCACGGGGACGTGATAAGGGGCTGAAAACACCAGGTCAAGCTGGGTCAGGCCCAGATGACAAAGACTAGGCTTTGTCCTCAGGGAACCCTATGTCCTGAGCAGGCCAGACTGGGTTCAGGTGGAGTCGGGGTGAGGGGTAGGCAGGCAGTTCCCACTGTCTCCTGTGGAAGGAGGAGGAGGGGAGGGGTTAAATTGGTCCCAGGGCTCTGCCCCCTGTCTGGTCTGGTTTGCCCTTCTCTCCCTTTTCTAGGCCCCCTTCTCTCCCCAGCTCTCACATGCATCCCTGCTCTCCATCCTCCCTCAACTGCCTCCTAAAGCAACTCCTCATTCTGCTAGAAGTCCTGGCCAGTGAGGGCAGGGGATGGAGACTCCTGCCTCAGGAAAGGGGACGCGGAGGCAGGGCTAGCCTTGGCACCAGGTTGCCCCTCTTTTGCCTGGCTCCCTGTATGTCTGCCTCCCTTTCCCTCTTCCTGGTTCCCTGTCTCAAAGTTGGGCCTGGCCTCTGCTTCTCCCTGGCACCACGTTTCTGCCCATCGCGGGGTCTGACATGCCTGCATTTCCATAAGTCTCTGCCTTCTCTAAGCCCACCGTCGGCTTGCTCTCTGCCTGTCCCATCTCTGCCTCCACACCCTGCTCCAGGGTCTTCATCCGCTTCTCTCTAACCTGTTCTCCACTTTCCTGATTTTACTTGCATCTGAAGGTGACCCAGGATTCTCTCCTTTGCCCAGTACCACCCCACCTCACTCTCCCAGCTTCTCGATCCAAGGCTCACCCTCCCTGTCTCCTCTCCCATCCTCTCTCGGCACCCTCCTTCTGTGGCTCGGCTGCCAGCCCTGTCAACTGCCCCCCATCCCCCGGTCTGCTGCCCAGTCTCTGGCTGTTCCTCAACCTCTCTCCTCTGCTCTGGGAGCTTGGATTCTCTGGGCATCCCCTGCGTCTCTCATTTCAAGTGTGTCCCTCTCTTTCCTTCACTTATCTCCTCATTGCTCTCCAGGTCCTTCCTAGGAAGAGGAGCAGTGCTAGGCGAGGAGAGTGGAGGAGGATGTGAGGAGAGAGGTGGGACAGGCTGTGGGTCTTTCCAAGGGAGGACACAGCACTTCCTCTACCTTTTCTCTCTGTTGGTTTCCCTGGTGACCGTCCTCCAGGTTTTTGAGCCCTCTCCCTCTCTCTCCACTGCCCCACTCCTCAGGTCTTGCCTTTGGTTTTTTTGTTTGTTTGTTTGTGGTACACGGGCCTCTCACTGCTGCGGCCTCTCCCACCGCGGAGCACAGGCCCCGGACGCGCAGGCCCAGCAGCCATGGCTCACGGGCCCAGCTGTGCCACGGCATGGGGGATCTTCCCGGACCGGGGCACAAACCCGTGTCCCCTGCATCGGCAGGCGAACTCTCAACCACTGTGCCACCAGGGAAGCCCAGGTCTTGCCTTTTTCCTTCCCTATTCCCCTTCTCCCCTCTCCCTCTCCTCCCGTTCTCTAATGGCATTCCCTTCTTCCTGGCTGCTGCATTGGGAGCTCAGAGCCCAGAATGGCTGTCTGTGGTGCATGGGGGAGATTCAGGCCAGGGCCTCCCAAGCCCCTGCCCTCTGTGGCCCATAGTCCCAGGCCTTCCCTGAGCAGCAGGCAGCGACTCCAGGGGAGCTAGGCTTGTTTAGTTGGAGGGGAGCCTGCTCCTTCCTCCATTTTCCAGCCCTCCGGCAACCCATTCCCTCCCCTCCCTTCCCCAGGGTCCTGCTCACACGTGACTCTCCCCAATCCCTCTTCTGCCTGCCTCCCCTCCAGATGGCCTGCTCTAAATGGGCCAAAGGACCCCCATCTTCCAGCAAGACCAGACGAGGAGGGTCTCGGGAATGGAAGCTACAGTGGGAAGTAATGAGGGAGAAGAATGGAGTGCCCTGGACCAAGGGCCAGGCCCCGGGAGGAGGTGAGGAGGAGAGGAAGGTGGGCTAGGGTACAGTTCTCCTGGTCATGGTGGGGAGGTGGTTGGAGACCATGGAGGCCGTGTCTGGAAGGGGGTGGGCTATGGATGCAAGTCCTTGTGCCCCCTCAGATACCTGCCTCGGACCGGGGCTGGCGGCCCACCTGCCCAAGTGGGTCACGCCTCAGGGGGCACCCTTACACACCAAACCTCCTCCCCACAGCCCAGCTTCAGTATCGTCAGAGGTGAGGGTAGTGTTGATCAGATTTGGGGTGTAGGTCCATGCAGGCGGGCTCACTTGCTCTAGGAGAGCCTTAAGGGCTTCCCTAAATCTCCTTTAACTCCCAGGGTCTCTGGGCCAGGGAGAGGGCTGGCAGGAGAGGTGTCCCCTGCTGAGGAGGAAGTGAAGGGGAGCACCTGGCAGGGCTGCACCGACGATGCTCCCCTAGGGAGGCCTCTTGGATCTGGACTCCTCCTCTGGAGCACCCACCCCCACCCCGTGTCCATGTCCTTGTGTTCCTGTGGCTGGCAGACTGCGAAGAAAAGTCTAGAGGCAGGATCTCACTTCAAGGAAAATTGCTTTATTCTGCTTCCTCCAAAGGGGTTGCTCTCCAGGCTCCAGGACTGGGAGCTTCGTTGCACCCTCAGGATGGGGCAGATCGAGGAGATGTGGCACAGCTACTCCTCGTTCAAGCCCTTTGGAAAGGAAACAAAGTCCAAACTAGCTCCGGAGGGGTGGGTGTTGGGCAGGGATGGGCACAGGCAACAAAAGGGAGATGGGCACCGATGGGGGCAGGACCACTGTGTGGCCTGAGGGAGGCCCCCTGGTGGTGGGAGATGGGTCCTAGGGGTCAGTGTGGAGGGCAAGTTCCAGAAGGTAGGGCTCTGGGGTCAGCTGGAGGGATGCTTCCTGGGTGAGGACAAGGGGTCCTCTGGGAGGTGCATCTTAGGTTGGAATTACAAGGTTGAAGGCCTAAACTAGGTGGAAGAGAAGTAGATATAGCAGTTGGGGGAAATTGGGACACACTAGGTGTCTATCAGTTGGGGTCTTTGCTGACCACCCTAGGGCTGGGATTCACAAAATCATTGGCAGTCAGAATGGGAAGAACCCTAGAAATCATGGAGGACTGAGTTACCCCGCCTCTGGGGTCGTGGGGTTCAGCTGTGGGGGTGAATGAAGGGGAGGGATGCTGGGGCGAGGGGCTCTGTCTGAGGCGGACCGATGTGTGTCTGGGTGCTGCCGTGCGGGAAACCCACCTTGGTGCCGATGTCGCGGCTCTTGGCCCGCAGCTTGTTGACCTGGGACTCGGCGATGTCCGCCCGCTCCTCTGCCTCATCCAGCTCGTGCTGCACCTTGCGGAACTTGGACAGGTTGGTGTTGGCCTGTTCCTCCTGCGGGGGTTCGGGGGGGCGGGAGGATGAGGTGTGAGGAGCCAGGGATTATTAGACTCCCATCCTGGGGGCCGGCTCCTTGTCCCCTCCTCCAGGCCTGGGCCCCATCAGGGTCACTCACCGCCTCCTCGGCCTGGCGCTTGTAGGCCTTGACCTTCAGCTGCAGCTTGTCCACCAGGTCCTGCAGCCGCAGCAGGTTCTTCCTGTCCTCCTCCGTCTGGGGGTCAGGCAGAAGTGAGTATGGCATAGTCATGGGAAGCACTGCAGCCCCTTCCCCACTCATCAGCTTTACCCTGCATGCAATATCCTGACCCATTTCAACTCCTGGATCCTCACCAAACACTTGAGTTCTCCTCACAATTTCTCACCAAAAAAGTTATGAATACTTTTAATGGTTTGTACCAAGAAAGAGTCTAGGGAGCGGATGGGCTCCCTGAAATTGCACACAAAACTGTGTGTGTGCACAGGCCCTGGGGGGTCCTGGGGGCCCATGGAGAGTAAGCCCCCTGTTTCTAGAACCCAGCGTGTGCTGGCAGGAACTCTGGGACTGCAGGCCTGACGGGGTTTCCTGGGCTGCTGGGAAATGACATTGACTTGATCTAGGTTAAGGACAAGTATGCATAGAGGGATGGCGAATCTCTGGATTGGAATGGAAAGAAAATCTAATTCACAGTCTGATTCTAGAAAACACCATAAGAGCTAAAGTCTACACTTCCTTGAGTAACCGAAAAGTTCTGAGATTCATTTTAATGGTTTGGTGTTTTTTGGTGGTGATGACGCCAGGCTAAGCTTTGGCTACATATTTACTTTCTGGTAATCTGTGCTGGGTGAGCTCTAGCTCAAGCTCTGGTGTCTGCAGGGGAAAGGCTGAGGGGGAATGCTGAGGTGGAACTTGAAGGCCAGGGGACTCAGAGACTGCCCTCTGAGCCAGGGGACACTCAGGGTAGAACAGGGTCAGGCAGAGTAGAAACAGGGCAGCCAGGGGCTGTACTCTCACTCCTTGACCTGTAAGAGGCTAAGAGAGAACACTCCATCCCTCTGGGGTGGCTGTCACCCTGGCTTCATGCCATAATGCAGAGGGCCTGGCCCCAGAGCAGCCGCCGCGCCCGCACCTGGTAGGTGAGCTCCTTGATGCGACGCTCACTCTTCCTCATGCCCTTGATCGACTCTGCGTTGCGCTTCTGCTCGGCTTCCAGCTCATTCTCCAGCTCCCGCACCCGGGCCTCCAGCTTCTGCAGCTGCTTCTTGCCACCCTTGAGGGCGATCTGCTCGGCCTCGTCCAGCCGATGCTGCAGGTCCTTGATGGTCTGCTCCATGTTCTTCTTCATGCGTTCCAGGTGCGCGCTGGTGTCCTGCTCCTTCTTCAGCTCCTCCGCCATCATGGCGGCCTGTGCACGGCAGAGAGCGTAAAACAACAGGACCCCGGGGCCTCTTCTTTCCATTAAGGATCACCTCTTTCCCATCCTGCCGTTTGCTCCCTGAGGCCCTCAAACCCACAGAGTGGCAGAATCACCGCTGTTACAGCACAGTGGCCTGGCCTGGACCCACAGGCCTGGTTCGAGTCTTTCGGGGAGGGCAAGAAGGGGAGCGGTCACTCACGTCCGTGATGGCCTTCTTGGCCTTCTCCTCGGCGTTCCTGCACTCCTGCACTGCCTCCTCCACTTCGCCCTGAAGCTGGGACAGGTCTGCCTCCATCTTCTTCTTCTGGTTGATGAGGCTGGTGTTCTAGATAAAGGCAAAGAAAACTGTTGAATGTCTGCTTTGCTGCCTGATTCTACACTTTTACCCAGAGAAAATTAGAACTGGTCATTTTTAAAAAACATGTCTTGTTTTTAGTATTTTCCTTGTTTTGCACCTGCTTTCTCTTTTCCTATGAAAATAGATATATTCTAGACAATATATCTAAAGGGACTCAGCTCTGAAGAAAGACTTCAAGCAGGAAAGGGTCTGTAGTTCTACTCCTGAGCTCTGTAGTAACATGTCTGTGCAGGAGTATGAAAATATTCCAAGGAAAAACTTGGTTAAAGGGACTGTATCCTGGAAGTGATTATAGTTATAGAAAGAGTGGGGTAAGGAAGAGAGGACCACATCCGTGGGTGATGTCATTCCCGTATGTACTAGATTACGGAACAAAACTCCACAGGGCAGTGCAGTGAGATGGACATAAAAACTCATTACCGAGTATAGCTGAAAACAGTGTGTATGGGATTGCAGAAAAATGGTGTTCTGTGGAGAATTTGGTTTGCAAGTAGATGCAGTTGTGCTTCTTTCAACTCCAAAACTCCCATTTTAATACAGCAAGCTGAGGCTGGCTGTCTTCTAGATGTAAGATATCACATAACAGCGTGCATTCCACGACTCCCAGATTTGTGATTTTGCCAGGCACCACCAATCCACCATGACACTCTTTTTTTTTTTTTTTTTTGCGGTACGCGGGCCTCTCACTGTTGTGGCCTCTCCCGTTGCGGAGCACGGGCTCCGGACGTGCAGGCTCAGCGGCCATGGCTCACGGGCACAGCCGCTCCACGACATGTGGGATCTTCCCGGACCAGGGCACGAACTCGTGTCCCCTGCATCGGCAGGTGGACTCTCAACCACTGCGCCACCAGGGAAGCCCCACCATGACACTCTTAGCTTTTAAGTGTAGACCCCTTTCTCAAGGTTGTGGTTCCGCAGCCATGACTAACAGAGGCGAGCTGGTCCAAGAGATGAAATAATTTATGATCCATATGCTTGGACATATGCTTTCTCAGGCCATCTGATTCAGAGCATTGCTAGGTGTCCTGGCTCTGCTGCTCGGCAGGTTTCTCCTGGCCTCTCACCTGGGAGTGCAGCAGCTGCACCCGCTCGCTGGTCTCGATCAGCTCCTGCTCGGCCAGCTTCCGGGACCGCTCCGTCTGCTCCACCACGGCCCGCAGCTCCTCCAGCTCGGCCTGCAGCAGGTTGTTGCGCCGCTCCACGATGGCGATGTTCTCCTTCAGGTCATCGTTGGCACGGACCGCGTCATCCAGCTGGATCTGGGTGTCCTGCGCATCAGGAGAGTGGGCGTGAGACAGGCAGCTGGGCTCTGGCCCATCAGAAGGCCGTCAGCTGAACTGGATGCTGTGGAGAGCCCCTGGCGGTGGCTCAGGTGGGACCTGTGGGAGGTGCCTGCGACGGCCCCGGGGCAGGAGGGATCTGGTGCTGTGATGGGACACCGCCCCCCAACTCGGCCACCGCCCCTCTCTGGGTGAGGTGACTTCCTGCTTCCAAGAGTCACCAGGTACCTTCAGCAAGCTCTGGAGGCTCTTGACTTGCTTCTGGGCCTCGGCGGCCACGCGGTTGGCGTGGCTGAGCTGGATCTCCATCTCGTTGAGGTCGCCCTCCATCTTCTTCTTCACCCGCAGGGCCTCGTTGCGGCTGCGCGTCTCCGCGTCCAGGGAGGTCTGCAGGGAGTCCACCACCCGCAGGTGGTTGCGCTTCGCCTGCTCCATCTCCTCGTCCTTCTCTGCCAGCTTCCGCTCCATCTCTGCCTTGATCTGGTTGAACTCCAGCTGGGCCCGCAGGATCTTGCCCTCCTCGTGCTCCAGAGAGGCCTGGAGGGGGGTGGGGAGAGAGGGTCCGAGGAAGTCAGGGCACAGGGTACATTGGGGAGGGAGGCTGGGAGGATGCAAGGTGTCAGCCAAGAGGAGAAGAGCTGAGAAGAGATGGGGAGGGGGGACCTGCAACCCAGGCCATCCGGGTGCTCTGGGGGAGGAAGTGCTGGACACCCCCGGTTTCCTCTGTCAAGGAAAGGGGTCTGAGCTCACAAGTGTCAAGACCCTCCAGCACCAACACTGCATGATCCTGACCCATCTAAAATAGCATAGAAAAGGGAAGGATTTTTACAACCAGAAATTCGAACATTTCTCTTTGTTTCCCAGGTGCCTCACCCTGTAGTGAAAAAAGTTAGAAGCCCCAAATCTCAGGGCTATCGCTAGGTTCTTACAAATGAACAGTAACAATAACTAACATATATTAAGCGCTTAAACATGATACCTCGTTTAATCTTCATAATAGTCATGCGTAAAATCTCATGAGGTATGTACAACTGATGCCATTTTACAGACAAGAAAACCGAGGTACAGATAGCTTAAGGAACTTGCCCAATGACAAAGTGGTGGTCCTGAAGCCAAGTTTCAAACTCAAGTCTGTTTGAGTCTGGAGCCCATGCTCCCACCCCCTGTCTGAGGGGTTTTTATGATGGCCAGGTTTCAACTTTATAAACCCAGTGGGAAACAAACCTATGATCAAGCTGTGTGTGGCATTTTCCTTTGCACAGACCTTGGCTTTGGAGGTAGTCATGGGTAGTGGGTATATGACCTTGGACTAAGAATAAGGAGCTGATAGATTTTGTCTTGGGTCAGCGTCATCCCCAGGTGAGGGAGAGTGTGGAGTCAGAGATAGGAGGGCAGGGGTGCCTAGGAGAGGGTCGGAGGCAGGGGTGCAGGCAGAGCCAGGCCCTCACCTCGGCCTCCTCCAGGGCCGACTGCAGCTCCAGCTTCTCAGCCTCCAGCTGCTTGCGGACCTTCTCCAGCTCGTGGATGGTCTTTCCACTGGAGCCCAGCTGCTCAGTCAGGTCGGAGATCTCCTCTGTGGGAGGGGCGGGCCGCTCAGCTGGGGGCAGCCGGGCTCCAACGGGGGGCACGCCTCTAGGAGCCGCTGGGTGGCGCCACGTGCGGACCCTCCCTGCCCCGCCCCCGCCCCCGGCCTGGGCCCCGCACCCTGCAGGTTCTTGTTCTCCCGTTTGAAGGTCTCCAGGTGCTCCAGGGACTCCTCGTAGGCGTTCTTGAGCTTGAAGAGCTCGGTGCTGAGGGAGCGCGCCTCCTTCTGCGAGGACTCCAGCTCCGACTGCGACTCCTCGTACTTCTGCTTCCACTCGGCCAGGATCTGCGGGGACGGGACGCGGCTCACCGGGCAGCCCCAGCCCCACGTCCAGGGGCGCCCAGGCCCCTCTCCTGGGCTCAGCCTCCTCCCAGCCTCTGCCTCCTGGGAGGACGTTCCTGACTCCCGCCTGCCCGCCTGCTCTGGCCCCTGGCTGCGAGTCCCCAGCCTGGGCCCACCTTGTCGAAGTTCCTCTGCTTCTTGTCCAGGGCCGCGGCGGCCGCGTTGGAGCGCTCCACGTCCACCATCAGGTCTTCGATCTCATTCTGCAGCCGGTGCTTGGTCTTCTCCAGCGAGGAGCACTTGGCGTTGACGGCCTCGACGGCCTCCTCGGCGTCCTGCAGCCTCTGGGCCAGCTTCTTCCTGCCC